CTTTCGCCAATTCTCATTTTGGTTGGCAGCTGCAATTCAAGGAAAATCTCATGAACTTCAGGAAGTAGGTAATGGGGGCTTCTCAAGGTATCAGTATACCCAGACCACAGTGCAAAGCATAATCTGTTCAGAATGAGAGAAGCAAAAAAGAGCCACAGCTGAGCCCAAGGAACCCTCCAAAGGCAGCATTGCTTATCCATCAGCTGCCTGCCCTCTGAGAACCAAAGGCCTTGAGCTATGCTTTGGTCCTCCCTGTACACTTAATACAAGTGCAGTAGCCAAATGGCAGAAGTCATGGGAGAAGTGAAAGCAGTTATCCTGTGCTGAGAGCCTGAGTTCCAGGTGCCAGAGGAGGGTGGGGTGGGAGCGAGGGTCTTATCTACAATTTTGTTTACTCTTCATTCTCCAAGGATGGTCATTTCTTTTTCTTTAAGTTCCTAGCAGAAGCTGTAGTAAGTCACAAACAACACAAGGAAGACAGTTGATTCAAGAAGGAATGGCAATGGCTAAGAAGCGCATGTCCTTTGGTACTAGTTTTCTATTATTTGCCATATTTTGACATTATAATACTGCTGCAGGCTCCATTTCTCTAGAAAATGAAATATTTAGACATGCGTTTTTAGCCTTTTTAATTATAGAGCTTTGATGACTAGTTTGTAAGAGTTTAATCAAGGAGAACAAAGGCTGTATTCACCTGGCTCCTTGTTGCCGTATTTACACTATCTGCTCGCTTATTCTCTGTTAGAACACTCTTCTCATATAGTTAGAAGTGAAAGGATGATCCATCTCCTCATTACTGATCCTCTGCTTGGTGACAAAAACAAAACAAAATACAACACATTAACAAAGGAAAATGCCTTCCTGTCATTTCTCAGCCTTCCCTGCCGTTGCTCAGCTAGGATGTTAAAGATTGGGGTTTAATGAAAGAAGGTGAAGAGGTGAAAAGAAAAAAAAATCCCTAATGAGCTTGTGCTTGCTGTATGGAAAGAACACTGAAAAGCCACAGTCTCTTTGTATCTAATATACAGAGTGTGTCCAGGGTCAAAGAAGTCCTCCTTCTTCCTTCTTTCCTTCCTGAAACCAATTTCAGAAGTTTAATTTCTGATGATGGAGTGACAGAGAACCTCCTGTTTTCATCAGCAGCTTGCAGTTCTCGAGATGCATGCAGAAGTGGTGTGGGTGGTTCTTCAGGTTGCTGGATCACTGCTAGAACATCCCACAAACAGGCATGTCAGGCCTCACAAGGCAGCTGCCAGAGCCTTAGCTGCAGGTCTGTAGGCCATCAAGCAAGGCAGAGCTACTGCAGCAAAATGCCTTAATGCTTCAAAGAAGAGGCAGTAACAGCTGTTGAAACTCTAAGGCAGCTTTCCAAAATAGCCAGATCATCCCAAAATGTCTTAATTATCCAGTATTCCAGTCCCGTGGAAGGAGAGTCACACTGCGCATACAGAATGGATGTGAGGGCCAAAGCCCCAGAATTCTGAGAGTGACATTTTTGCTTTATCAGTTCCAAAATCAGGGAATCACTGCCTTTTGGAGAAGCAGCATGACACACCATGACAAGTAAAAGGGGCAACCTTGCCGCACAACTCCTTCGGGATAATGGCCATCTTGGGGAGACTTGCTTCTCTAATGTTCTGTGTCCAGCATAAGTATGAACACACTGACTGTGAATTAAGATCTTTCTTTGAGATTGCAATGTGCAGCTTTAACTGTGTTCTCATCTTCTACATTCCACTGAATAACCTAAATTACACAGAACAGCAGTAAATTGGCTCATCATAGCCCTGTTCTAATTTTAATAGGATAAAGATCTAAAGAACTTGAAAGCCTGGTGAAACCACTGAAGCCTGTGAAGGGGCTGCCAGATCTTTCCCCAGAAGATCATGGATTTTAATTCAACCTGGGTTTGTAGTGATCAAGAACATTTGAGTTTACATATACCCTGACATAGCATCCCTAACAGGGAAACTGATGCTTCTGGGGGTATGGTGCACAGCCACATGTGGGAAGCAATCATTCTCTCCCACATAAAAGTGATCCTTGCAAAGTGAAGTTCAAGGCACCATAGAGTGTCTTGACTTCACAATGTCAACTGCCTGCCACTCTTGGGCTCCCTAGCTCAGAAGTAAAAGCTCTACAGCTCTTTGCTGAGCAGCCAAACTCTGATGGCGTCCGGACAGACAGAATTTGACAAATATACATACATGCTCACAACAGCACTTTCCCAAACAATCCTCTTGGTTTCAACAAAGCATTGACTTGTGGTGATAAAATGTCATGTCACAAGTCAAATTTTGATGCCATTACTGAGTGTTATCTGTAAGCTCTAAATACGGTCAGTACAATTGGCCAGCTGTCAGATTCTAGGCCCATCCTGAACAGCAGACTGACAAACTAAACAGTTTCAGCTGCTGGAGTCTCTCCTTGATTAGATTATTCCTGACTGTCTCAGTCCACAAGTCACTTCAGCCAGTCAATCAACAAACAAACTTCCAATCACTCAGAAGTCTGTCTTCGCTTGGAATTTCATAGAATTCAGTTAAAAAGTTCATCATTATTCAAAGAGATTTAGAGACATGAATAAGCTTTGACATCCTTATTAGGAATGATAATTACAGTGCTCTGCTTTAGAGAAAAAGCTGGTGTTAAGATATAAAATTTCCATAGAGCACTTCCCTCAGGTTGTAAACGGCTCCTACTTTCAGATTTGATATTGATCAGCAAGAGAGTGGATCAATATTGAGGGGAATGTCTTCTACACACTACCAGAGTACATCTGTGTTGTGTACCTGAGGGATGCTAAATAGCTGAGCCACCCCAGGTGCACACATAGCCCTGATACCGAAGTCTGAAAGCACTGAGGAGCCCAGCTCCCCAGCTTGTCCAGTAATTAAAAGAAGTCTGTCACACCTAGAGCAAGAGCTGCCAAATGCTGCCTTTAATTAGTAGCTATCATTTGAACTAGGGCTGCCAGGAGGTGCTGAGACTCTAAGAGGCTGGGAGGTCCCAAATGTTTGCTTCTGCTAGGGATCTGATGTTAGGGTAAGATCTAACAACCATGACCTCTGAAAGAAAAGGGCAAATGATGTTGAGGCTTCCTCCTCCAAAACTCCAGAAAGAGCTGTCCTTGTGCCAGAACTGGATCTGAGATGGCATGGCAGAACCTGCACCCAGGCAGCAGGTTTAAGGCCCAGCATGAACCCCAGTTCATCCACCCATCTCTCAAGTTCTCCCTGATGGATAGGTCAGATCTTTATTTATAAAGATTTACCTATCCAGAACTTGATTGCTTGGGCTATGAACTCTCTCTCAAATGGCTATTTCCCTGAATGGGAAACAGGAACCAGTCTCCCTAGCTTAAAACAGCCTAAAGGATTTTCATGACTGGACTAAGGCGCCATAGGAAACCTTTCCACAGTTTGGGCTGATGTTACCAAAGCAGATTTCAGCCTTCCCTTTTTAAAGTCTGACCCTCCTCCCAGCCCAGCAGCTTCGTCTCCCAAAACGTTCTTGCTCCTTGAGGCTCACCCTCCCGCATTCTGATCACGGGAATCAAAATATGGGCCCAGACACATTATCAGTGCCTTTGGCTTTGGGCTAGGGTAGGAAAACGGAAGGTGGGTAAGACGCAGGAAGAGGTCGTACTGGACGCAGTGCGGGCTAGACTTCCTTGAATCTCAGCAACGTGTCTAAAGATGAACACCAAGCAGCCAGGACGCAGGAGGGGAACGGGACATGTTGTCCACAGCGGGTCCCCTGGGGTCGACAGTATGTGGCTCCATCAGGTGGAAACCGTGCTGATCTGTCGGACCCAACTCCCGAGAGAGAAAGAGGTCCAAAGCGCGCACGCACGCCTCTGACACAACCCGGCCGCCCCGGGACGGCGGAGAAGCTACGGCTGGGGCTACTGTGTTGGGTTGCAATTCTCCGTGATAAATGTAAAGACCAATTAAGGTTTGATCCGTGCACACTGGAGGCAGACGGCGGCTGATAGTGGAACCAATTAACGAGCATGTCCCCTAATTCCTGCCGCGGCTGCCGGGCGCACCGGGCGGTCCCCTGGCGCCAGTCCCGAGCACAGGCCCCCGCCCCCGTGCTCCTGCGGCCAGGAGGTGCGAGGGGCTCCGCGGGTGGGGAGGGGGGCCCCCGGGGAGCCGCCGCCCACGGAGCCCAGGGTGCGCGGCGCGAGGACAGGTGGCCGGGGGCGACGCAGGGTCGGTAGAGACCCCGCGTGCCCCCTTTCCGGACAGCCCGTCCCCTGCCCGGCCGCCCAGGACGTGACCTCTCGCAAGGTGCTGGCGCGGAGCCGCGCGTGATTGATCGCCTTGAGGTCGCGGGCGGCGAGGCTCTGGCCCCTTTTGACCCGGCCGGGGTGCTCGGGTGCTCGGGAGCAGAGCGGGGTCAGGCCGCGGGGTCCGGGTGCGCGCGGCGGTGGCTGCAGAGAGCTAGGCCGGCCGGGGGCGACGGTGGCGAGAGGCCGGTCCTCCCTGGCCCCGGGGCCGCGCGGCGGCGGCGACGGTGCTGCAAAGTTTGGAGCCCCGGGCGCCACGCGCTGTCCCTCCCCGAGCCCATCCCCTGGCGGAGTCTGTGCCGCCGTGGCTGCCAGGGCAGGACAAAGGCTCATTAACACGTGATGGGACCACGCTTCATAAATGGGACTGGAGCGAGAGGGAGCCAGAGACAGCGCGCGAGCGGAGGGAGAGGCAGGGACCGCGAGCAGGGCGAGGCGGCGGGCGCTCGGGGCTGGCCCAGGCGGGCGGCCTCACGCCGGGGCACCGCGAGCGGAGCACCCAGCCAAGAGCCCGGGGAAGGGGCGAGGCCTGCTAGAGCCCGGGGGCGCCGGTCCTCAGAGCTCTCGCGCCCGCTCGGGTGCGGGGCGCAGGAGACGCGGGCGCGCAGACCGACAGACTCCCTGACCGACCGCCGCGGGCACGCCCCGCTCCACCCCGCCGCGCCCCGGCGCCGCCTCCCCTGCTCCCTCTCCACCCCTGCCTTCTCCACTTCGCCTCCGCCTCCGCCTCCGCCTCCTCCTCTGGGCTCCCGCGGCGCCAGTGCCTTCCCCTGGCCCGGGCGGGCGTCTTGGCTGTCTGCAGAGCGCTGGTAGAGTCGGGGGCTCCTTGTTGCAGAGAGCCAGTCCCTGGGCTGGGCTGGGCGACAGGTGCCGAGGGAGCTTCTGCCCTCAGGACCCGGGGATGCGAAGGGTAAGGCCAGTGGCGTTTGGAAATAGCTTTTCCAGCAACCGCCCCCTCGGTACTGACCAGTGTGGTCCCCAAGAGTCCTCCGCGGAGTTCATGTTCCAGGAGAGTGCGTCGGTGTTTACTTCGCTGTACAGTGCCATCCTGTTAACTGTGATCTGTGCTACTTATGCAGGCTTCCACCATTTACTATTTACTATTTACCTGGCTCTGTATACGCTGATGTCTGTTTGTAGGAAATGTTTAATTGTGCATGTTTGAAAAACAGGCGCTTGAGTTGATGCTTGATTAACCTTATCAGCAAATAAGTCTTCCAGAGGAGTGTATCAGTCTCTACACCAAACCTAGAAAACGACTGAAGTGAAATATTAAATGTCATGCAAAGAAATGTACGTCAAATAACAAACTTTTGATACAGAAAGCGATAGCAGCCTTTTTTCTTCAAGGAAAAACAAACGTGCATAGCATTTGATACCTGCGATTTAATGTTGATGGAACCGTGTTACTAAAACCGAGCCATTCGCTGAATAAAGTTGATCCTTCGTTTTTAAAAGACATTTCTTGGTAAGGCTTAGGGAACATAAATGAATCATCTCCTGAATGCAAATGTTTACTTAGAAGCGAAAAGCTGTTTGGTCATTTAAGAGTTTAAAAGCAACATGCATGTTTCTAATTGTAATAGATGACATCTCTCAAAGGTTTAAAAGAGATGAAAAATTTAGTAACCTATTTATTAATCATTTTGTCTCTTACCTCTTTAATTTTTATTCCAAGTAAGAGTTATTCCTGCCATTGTTTATTTCTTGGTATATTAACTCTCCTTGGACGTTTAATTCAATAAGAGATTAGAGCAGATTTACTGGTTTTAAAGATGTTGAAAGATCATTTATCTATCTGGGTCCCATAACTTCTCATCTTTATTATCAAGTTAATTCCTTTGAACAATGGGGAAAATGCACATTCTCAGAGGAAATTTAGTGAGAACTCAGCGTCGGTGGGGGTCACTCTGTTTGGCAGAATTCTGAGACGCTAAAACAACCAACCTTCCAGGTTCCCTTAGGACTTTGATTTAAAGTGTTGCTTTTCTAATCCCACCTTCCCACAGTTTGTAAGGGAAGATATACTGATTGATTTTTCTCTGTTGTTTTTCCTGGAGCCTCTTTCCTTCTCTGTCTGCTCTGTAATACAGCTAAGAGAATTTTTTATCAAAATAAAAGGCCAAGAATAGTTCTTAACTGAGAGAAATAATTTTCGGATTCTGTCCATACAGAAACAGAATACACGGGCCTGGGCCTGCAGAACTCTAAACAGTGCACAGTGCAGGCGGTTGTTTGTAGGCACACTAGCAGTTGCTGTAGTTGGGCAAGAGGCTTGATATTGATATGGTCTTTTAAAACTAATGCATTTCAGGTTATTAGGAGAACTTATTGTGAACAGGCTCTTTTTTATTTTGTTTGTTTCAAAGATGTCTTCCATTCCAAGCAAGGAACACCCCTGGTGAGGTATGTATCAAGTGTCTAATGGTGTGGGGGGGAATCTCATTGTGTTCCCAAGCATACATGAGGGTGAAATAATGCCACATGGTGGAAATGCTCACTTCTGACCTTTTCAGATTACTATGCTTGTATGCTCATTGTTAAGAAATCAAATCTGATATTCCTACCCCTGAATTTCAGTGGCTTTTAATATCTGTGCATAGAAATGAATGTTGTGACTAGAACCTCAGTGAAGCCATAGATGAGTTATTTAATTGAGTGTACAAAGTTTTTAATTCCGGAAATCAGATCTCACAGTGAAGTGATCCTTGGCTTTGTCTGCTGTCCACTGTTTTCTGCCTTTTTCTGTTCCTCTTCTCCCAGTGGACTATGTTCCTTTCCGTCTTGCCTGTGAGATTGCTCTTCTCTAATAAGCCTAGCTGCAGGATCAGTGTGTTCTTTTTGGCATTTCAAAATGTTAAAATAGTGAAATTGTTAAATGTTACCCAGATGAAACTGCTGGGAATGAAATTCTCCAAAAGAACCACTATGTTTGTGACATATTACAGACAATCCCCAAAGAAAACCTCTTGAATTGGTTTATCTGTTTTCCCAAGAAGGAAGCAGTCCCATTGATTGTGTTGATAAGTGTTTAGCATGCAGTGTCAGCTTATTAATTACGAAGGCAAAGCCTGTGAAACTCTTTCAAAACAATCTGTGACATTCTCCTTTGCTTTGACACAGAATTAATATTAGCCACCAGGATATTTAGACAGGTTCCTCTGTTGTGTAATGTATTGGTCTTTGAAATTAGAGTTGAATAATTCGCTGTGTAAGAATTAACTATTATGAAATAGAACTTATAATACCAGTTTAGAGTTCAGGACACTTACCAAGTGTTTCTTCCCATAAAACAGTTGGCCTAATAAAGCATTTTTCTCCATAATTAGCTGTCCAGGAATCTGCAAGAAAAAAATAGCAAATTGGAGCTGGAGAGATGGCTCAGTGGTTAAGAGCACTGACTGCTCTTGCAGAGGACCTGGGTTCGATTCCCAGCACCCATATGACGGCCACGAACCGTCCTTAACTCCAGTTCCAGGGGAATCTGAAGCCCTCTTCTGACCTCCGTGGCATTGCACAACACGGGTGCACTCACATACATGCAGGCAATACACTCATGCACTTAAAAATACTAAATAAAAAAATGGCAAATTGAATTTAGACATAACTAATAACATAATTAGTAAAGTGTGATTTGGTGATAGCCTCTTGAATTTGGTTAGTGATATGGTCTGTCCCTTTAGGCTGCTGGCTGTTAGTCTTGGGATAATTATGTTAGTTCAGTTGCATAAAGAACACAGTTCAAGGCTTGAGTTCCCAGCTAAAAGGATGCCATGTTTCCCCCCCCCCCCCAGTGTAAGTCTGTCTCTTCTGTTTTGGTATTCATCATCTTCTAATTGAACTGATAAACAGAGGGAAACCAGCCTCTGGGCCTAAGTTATTTATAATTCTGTTCTTCGCTCTAATCCTGGATTAACATTGTTTGAAAAACTGTACCAGAGTCAAGTTATAGATTGCCTATCTGAATTTGTATAAATAAGCAGCTCTGTTTATTTTTCTCTTAATGCCTGGTAGATAACAAAAGGAAATAAAATCATAATTTATGTTTTCTAAGTTCATATTCTGCACCCTCTTCCCTAAATCTGCAGTTCTTTCCTAATTCTATTATCAAAAAATGTTAACCTTATAACCATACAGAGTTCATTTTGTGTGTGTTGGGAGTTCAACACTGTACCATTGAATTGGTATCTAATTCTTTAATAACTCTTTAATTCACCTATTTATATATTCTTAGACTGGATCCATCTTATGATAGATCAATTTAGATTTCTTTAAACTATTTTCTGGATTAAAAGAAATGATAAATACCATCCATGATATCTATGTCATCAAACTATAATACTGTATAATTTTAGAAAAATAAATTCATAGACATATATCTATGCATAAACCACCTTTTTCAGAGATATATACTATAGGTAAAATAAAAATGTAGATACATTGCCTTTTGATATTTGAACATAGTATTCCAATTTTAAACGAATACTACAAACTTGGGAAAATGTCCAAATTCAAGGCAGTTGTACAGATGGACCCTGAAGACTCAAAGCACAAGGAAGTATTCACCTTGAATCAAAACAAGACTGTTCTTGTTTTCCAGGATGGATAGGAGTCTGTCCAGTCCCATGTGTTCTAAGAATCTTGTCAGTATGCCAGGGCAACCATCATCACATTTAATTATAATTTTATCATAAACTTGGAAGAGTTTAAGGTAGCCTTTTACCAATCTTGATTATTAGTAGTTTTAGAAATTAAAACAATACCAACTGTCAGAAAATGTAAGAGTTTCTTACTGTGTCACAAAATGCATGTTTAAAGGAAATATGTGAGAGGAAAATAAGAGTGTTGGTTTAGTAGTTCCCATCACCTCTTACTGTTATTCAAATTGATGTTAGATGAGCATTTTCCTCAGGCTTGTCACATGGATAATAGGTATGTTTATGATGTCTCAGAAATAATAGGTCAAAGCCATTCTATAAACTAATCAGTGTAATTACCTGTAATTTTTAGCATAAAGCACTGACTAAAAGCTTTCCTGGGTCATATTTCTTCATTGAACAGGGAAGTTCATGACGAAGTACATTCCATTACAATAGTTTCTCTAGAACAATTAGCTGCACATACAAACATGCTCCAGATCTAATTGTCCCTGATTTTTTCCTATGTTTGAGGATTCTAATGGGAAGGCCCATTTGGTGCTTTCATAACGTAGTTATCATTCTTGAGAATAGAGTTGAATTCGTGTGGTGTTTTTGAGGGGAGAACGGTTTGCTCCCCAAACCTGAGCAAATGGCCCTGATCTTTGATCATGGAATTCTGTGAACTCTGTTTTGGTCCCACCTGGAGAAATTTTCACACCAGCACTTTAAGAAAGCTTTCAAAGTTTGTTTCCTCATTTCGTCTTTGAATAAGTGAATTGAAACTAAATAGATGAGAATCCTTGTTTTTCAGATAATTGTTTTTATTTCACTGTGCTGCTTGCATTGTATTTTACATTTTTGATTAAGTTTCCTAAATCAGATTTTTGAACGACAAAGGGATGTTAAACCCCCCTTTCTCTAACTCAAATACCAATTTTCCCCTTAACAATATAATGTTTTATTATTTAATGTCTTGTCTTTCCACTCTCGTTTGTATTCTTTTGTTTACAGTTTCCATCACTGAATAGATTTGATATCTTTGGCTTGGTTCTTTTCTGCTGTTATCAACTCTGAGTGGCATTCAAACAATATTTTTTTTACCTTCAGAAGATAAGGTGCAGTATGATTTCTTAAATTTGCTAATGTAATATCTGTCTTTTTTTCCTACTAGCAAATTCCATGCCATTGCTTTTTAAAGAAAAGAAGAGGCATTTTTCAAAGCTGTGCCAGGCAATCTGTTGTGGTGGTTTAATACACTAACAAATGCTTT